TACGTCTGCAAAATAAGACAAATGCATAATAATAGGAGGGGGGGGGGAGATTTGCAGCCGAGGATTTTTAATAAATTTTAAAAAAAGAAAAGGAAGAATGTGAAAGCTATTTCCTGCCGTTCTGACAGTGCATTTCTGTTTATATACATTGATAGAAACACAATCGTGAACAACAACAACAACAACAAAACAAACAAACAAAAAGGAAATGGAACAAGAATAAAAAGTGACTAAAAGGACGGGAAAAAGAAAATTATGGGCAAACCAGTGAATAAATAGACACAATATAGAAATGGTCCAAAAGTGTCATAAAAAGCAGACAGCACATTTTACACAAAATATCCAAAATGATTTGCAGAGACAGACAAACAATGATCCACAGACATATCTACCCATAGACATGATTAACCTGAAGACTCGTTGACCCAAACTGGCCTGCAGACACACTGACACAAATTAATGAATATACCAACACAGACTGACCACGCACACAGCATTCACACAGATACAACACAATGTGACATACACCTGTGTAAGTCAAATTATTTGTGACAGATTCACAAACAGAGACATTTATTTATTATTTATTTATAAAATATTTTACCAGGAAAGATACATTGAGATTTCTCTCGTTTTCAAGTATGTCCTGGGTCCACAAATCATTGCATTGTTACAATTAGGGTACAATAAAATACAAAAACAATATTAATACACAATAAATACAAAAAATAACATAGAACAGGCAGGAAATATATAATCAACCATGACAGGTGCATTCTGTTTTGAGGTATGTAGAGAGGGATCTCTTAAAGGACTTTAGGCTTAGGGAAGATTTTAAATTGTGCGGGAGGTCGTTCAACAATTGCGATAAATAGATGCACACACGTGAGCTGATAGACACAAGGTGTTTGCTCTGGGACTGAAGAATACAACAGGCATCCAATTACACAGACTGACACATGTACAAAACGACACAATCATGTAATTAAACAGCCCTAGCAAGCAGTGTTCTCTTCCTATTCGGTATTTTTGTCTTTCAATGTGTCACACGTCTATGCATACTCTGTGTCTTCATGGTACAGTGATGGAGAATATGCTGGAGTGAGCAATGCAAAAGAGAATCGTATTAATATTTACAAGCACAAAGATGCAAAAAGCTAAGACATTAACTCTTTGACAACTGGAATGTTGCCAAGATTATCAACATATTGTAGACAAATAATACACACACACACACACACACAAACATGCATGCATATGTAAGGATAAACAAACACAAGCAGATAGATATAGGAACGCAGATACACACAGATTTGTGGATGCACAGACACACAGATGAGGATATACACAGATGCGATATACACACTGTTATTTATAGACGTTTGAATCGTAAATAATTCAAAGTAAATTTCATGCCAAAGTAGCTTATATTGAAAATGTCCAATATGTTTTAAGTTTGGCTAATATATTATATTATCACATAATGTCTGAGACCGATTTGCTCAGTTAAAAGTAGTGTACCTTCCATTTAGTTACATTTAGTTTATCCTATGTGCCACTCCTAATAACATGTGCCCCTCTGTGGCCGTCTGAAGATTTCGGGGGTATGGATTTCCTAGTAATTCATTATGTTTAAACTTGGCATAGTTCTGTCTATAAGATAACTTTGTATTGCTCTTTGTGTGGGATCCTGGCACGAACCACTGAGCGATAACTTGGCATTGCTTAGTGTGGAGCCTGGCTCACTCACTTGTGTGGTTTTAGTTGGTCCTGGCATTAATTATACCCAGTACAACTGAATATTTGGCTTTGGAGGAGTATTTTTTTCACTGTCCAGCATGTCAGCGATACAAACTCTACATTCATGTCACGTACACGCAGAACGATGAGCAGTGACGGCCGTAAGACTTGGTGGTCTCCCCTCCCTCCCCCCTCCACCTGATCCGTGTTTGATCAGGAAAAGAACAATCTGATAAAATCCGCCCCTTGCACCCTCTGCCGAGGCGATAAACACCTCTCTGTCTTCACTAACAAGCGTGAAATCTACACTGTGTCACACTGCCACCTGCTGCCCATGATTGGGACTTGAATTTTTTAATTTTTAAAAAAAAATGTATTTAAAATGAATTGGCTGTAGGTCACCTTGTTTCAAAACAGGACATATTGTCTGATGCATTATGAAGGGAAAAAAAATGTGGTAAAAATGGTCCCCTGTTTTTTCAATGCATTGTATAGAAAAGATGTTAAAAATAATGCAAACAAATTAAATAAAATAATAAAAAATTAAAATTAAAAAAACCTTCTCAGATCACGAAGCTGCACGGCTTAGATAAACTGACTGCAGCTTCAGGCAGACCCTTCACTCAATATTAGTTCTGATCTTATTCCATAAATTCTCGAATAGAATTTATCTCGTCAGCAGCAGTTACCCTTAAACTAATTTACCAGTCACTATTAGTTTAAACACAGCACTGTTCATAGCAGATGTGTTTAGTTACAAAACCAACCAAAATCTTTGACTTCACTGGACAAAGATTACACTGGCAGCATTTGGGGAGTCATTTCAAGAATTCACTATGGAAACCAATGGGATATTCCTGCTAATTGCTGTTTTAAGAACTTTGGGCCATATGCAGAAACCAAGGTGCCTGACAAAGTATTCTAAAAGAATAAACTATGTGTTCTGGGGGTGTAGGGCCCCCTAGTGGGCCTGAAAGGTAATTAATGGGAATTTCTACTGGGACTGGAGTTTGGGCAGTAAAATATTGCAGTATGATGGGAGGGGCCTCCCCAACCCTTTTAAGAGGATCCTCTGTTTCCTATCACTCCATTTGGTTCCTGCTGTCTCCTGAAGTTCTCCCTCTCTCCCCTTTGTTATCTGTGTACTTGTTCTCCTGGGTGCGGCGCTGAATTAGTTCCCCCTCTTAGCGATGTGCTGGTGGCGGGGCCTCTTTAGTCGAACTCGCCTTTTGAGTCCCTGGCTGTTAAATGTAGTCTCTCTCCTCGGATACCTTTGGTTCTGACAGCCAGAAGGTTCCTTGGCCCTCCTGGGTTGGAGGTTCCGGTTCCCTCTATCGCGAGAGGGTGCGGCTTTAGGGCGTGGTGCAGAGAGAGAGGGCGGGAGTGACGTCGGCAAGGAGGCTGGGCTTTCCCCCCCCCCCCTCTTAGGCAGTGGCCCGGCTAGGGCACCCACCTGCAGTCTGCGTTCAAGGTGGCCATGCCGAACATTCTCCCTTGCTGTCCTTATGCCTCTGCTTGGGCGGATGCAACGGGTGCTCCGCTGCCGGATTAGGTGAGCCACATCCTCTTGTGGGCTGAGGAGTTATCCCTCAGCGCCATCACCCTAGCTAAATTTGGTTACTAGTTATATATGTTACGGCAGTTCTATTTGAATGGTTTTTGAATATATTTTCTGCCATTATGTTGGGTTAGGGAGGGTGTTATAGGGTTAACTATTTGTCTAAAATTTAGGGACATAGGAGATTCCCCATTAAGGGATTTCAATAGATTTGAATAGGACTGTGGTCACAGACATATCCTGCTAAGTTCTAGTATTCATCAAAAAACACAATATTCATGTAACGGCTGAGACTTTCTGAAAAGTCATTGTTTATTGACCAGGCTTTGGAGTTGTTGGCATGGTTCCCCAGCCTTGACTAACTTTATCTAATATCTCGGGTTGTGGACAAAGAACAAATTCCTTTAAATTTGGCTCTGTACAAATATGTTCAAAACCACAGCGGCTCTGGTTGATCTTGTGGTGTGCCCTGGGAACAAAAAGTAATCTTTATTTTTAATTTAAACTCTGAGTCTTGCTGCCCTTTCCTCCTGCTTGCTTCTGGCTTCTTTCCCAATACTAAATTTTGTTTTTCTCCTTCACTTTTCTACACTACCCAACACATTTTTGTCCTATCGTGTTTGTGTATGTATATGTATATATATTATATGTTTTCATTTCCTGTAAAAGCCAGACCTATCTCCATTGGTATAAACAGCCATTCTAAGCCACATTTCTAAATGTTAAGCTGCTGGTTGTTCCATTTTTAGGAATGTGCCCCCAAATTCCTCTTTTATAAGGAATGTCAATAGTCTTAAAGGAACAGTTGTTTTGTATTTTGTCATGTTTATAGTAACTCATAATACTGACTCATAGCTCTTCAGTGGGGCTGTGGTGTCCACTCTCTCTACCATTAAATTGAGGCTTTATATATGTTTGGTTTGTTTGTGATTGTTGACGTACCATGATATGTACTGATGTGATTTCAAATGATAAGTATTGTTTTAGCTTTTTTGTACAAACAATACAATTCTTTTGTATAACGGCAATGGTGTGCCATGGTATATTATATACTATGTATGTGTTTCCTATTAATGTGCTTCTTGCATTAATTACTTTATCTTGACTTATCAGACCATATTATATTTTCCAGTGTTTAGGGTTTCAAGTTTTGTACTCTATACACTAGTTAAAATAGAATAATGTAAAGATTTTGTCGAGATAGGATAACGAAGACACAGTACTTTTGTAGCATTTAAAGGGACATTCTGGACACCTAGAGCACTTTAGCTTGCTGAAATGCTTTATGCATGAAGAGTGTTTTTTTTTTTTTTTAATTTTATAAAAAGTGAAGATTGCAATAGAAATTGGCACTTTTATTAATTAACATTGTTACACCTCCTGGTTGTCAATCAGACAATAGGTCCTTTACTTCCTGGTTGTTTAGCTCAGTGTAGCTAAATTTAAGAGGCAGCAATTTCCCAGAGTACCAAACTTGCAGAGACTTCTCATTCAGCTGCATTGGACAGCTACAGAAAGTCAGGGCGGTGTTAGCAAGGGACGGCTTGCAAAGGCTGCAGACAAAAGAACTGCAGCTTTTGCAGTCTGTTTTTAGATGTACCCCAATGAGATAAAATACAAGAATGTTTCTGTTTCCCTTTTCACCCCAAACAGAATAGAAAGAAAGCAATGTTGTTCTTAAGAAACATGGATAGACAAGTAGTTAGTCAAGAAATTAAAATTTATTCCAAAATATATGTATCAATCAAAGTATATCCCTAAAAGTCAGTGGTATCAGGCTCCAAGACACCACTGAACCATTTAAAAAGACATTGTTATTAAATGATATAATTAAATTTCCATTTGCAATTGTTCCTCTACTTTTCTTTACAGCCAGAACCGCCGAAGTAAGATCCACATGCAAGCCACGATTCCTGTGGTCATTGTCAAAGCAGCCACCCGAACAGGAAGGTAGCTTAAAGATGCCTCCAGACGAGCGTGGAGCTGTAGTACCTGCTGCCGGGTGCTATCTCTGTCTCCTGAGTTATTAATTACAAGGTCCGCCAGTGGCACCTTACTGTCTATAGGGAGCTGTGAAGCCAGCCGTTTCATAGCATCCTCCCGGGATAGACCATTCCTCAGGATCAGACGTTCTGTTTGGGTCTGAGGATCGCTGGGAAGAGACAGAAAAATGGCAATTCAGTGATTTCTAGAAACTTTCTATAAGTAACATTGTTACAATAACCCCCATCCTGCAGTATCGACCATACTAAAGCCATCACTTTACAAACGGCACATATATGTGTTGTATAGTTTAATGTTTTAGTTGCGGCTTCCAGCTTTCCTGATATACTTCATAACATATACAGTATTACATGATTGATTTTATTAGGTTTAACAAATGAGTTTGTGACAAAGTACCCACTCCATTAAAACATTCCTCTGCTTTAAAATGATCATGTCAAATGCTGCTGTTGATTTGGCCAAATCATCCATAGCATAGGACAAAGGGAGACAAGAGCCCCCTGCTTCCATGAAAATTGACTTGCATGATGCCTGTTCAGGTAATAGTTTTGCCTCTTTTTTCTATACCAATATTAGCTAAAGTCACTCACTATCACTTGCTCATCCCCTTTGATAGAATATTTCCCCGAGTGATTGAGCACAGATTCCAATTGTTGCTAATTATTCCATTGCCAAGATGTTCATACATCCATTGTTCAAATGCAAAACAGCTTGTTTAAAGATAGCTGTGTGCTTTTACTAATTCCCTTGGCAACTGATAACCAATTTGAAACCTGTGTTTTCTCTGCCACCAATACGCCCACTAAAGTAGTGGTCCTAGCCAGAATTCCTGTAACCATTCCAGACTATCAATCTCTCGTAATGCTTCAAGCTGGTTTTATCCTCTATCTGGCATTGCAACAGGATAGCATGCTTTGTGAAATGGGTACAGCATATGCATAGCAATTATTACCAGCTACCATTTTAACATATACTACAATAAATATGACGTTGCCAGGAAAACCATTGTGACTACATCATGCTTTTGATTTATTTTGTTTTCAATGGAAACGTATCACAAACTACACTTAAAGGGACACTATAAGCAGAAAGACCCTTCATCTCAATCAAGTGATCTGTGAGCAGTGCCCCATGCATTTCGCTCACGCAATGTAAAGCATTGCCATTTTGGGAGATTGGGCAATGTTTACATTGCAGAGCTAAACACACCTTTTGTGGTTCTTACACTGAAGAAAAAGGGTAAGTAAAGGGTTATTTAATGAAAAATGTTAAAAGAAGCTGGGAACCAGGGGTCATATTCTAACTAGTTTTTATTTATTTTTAATTTGGTTTCCCAACCTTACTGTCCAGGCATGACATACACATTAAATTAACACTTGCAGGGATGTACGGACAGAGTGTGTTCAGAACCGGCACTACTGAAAGAATGCCTGTATTTCTACTCTAGATGGCAGATTGCTGGGGTATTATGGGGTGGCAGAGTTGCCCTAAACACTGAGGTTGTTCCCTCACCACTGTAAATGACTACAGAAAAGAGAAGTGATGGTTCCGCTTTAACAGATTAAAATTGACTCTTGTCTTTAAAGACTTGGTTGAACATTATTTACAGTCAAAAATAAAAAAAGGAAACTGGAAAAAAAATCCACCCAAAGGCCCACCTGTTGTCCTAAATAGCGCAGAGGTGTCTTAAAGCAGGCTTCCCCAAACTCCGGCCCTCCAGATGTTGCTGAACTACAACTCCCATGATTCTATTAATGAAATAGATACGCTGAGAATCATGGGAGTTGTAGTTCAGCAACATCTGGAGGGCCGGAGTTTGGGGAAGCAGGTCTTAAATTAACCCCTTAAGGACACAGCTTCAAACGCTTATCTTGCACTTAAGGACACATTTTTGCATATTTTGCTGTTTGCTTTTAACTGCAATTTGCATTTTACTAATTTATTGCACCAACACACAAAGGGCTTTAATTTGATGTAACATATACATATATAAATGCTTATTTATTATAAAAAAGCAAAAACAAATGCAAAAAAAAAGTAAAAATATTGTTTGTTTTTTACAGTTTTTACAATAATAATGTGTGCATAATTAGTGCAGGTTAAGAAAAGTAATTTAATATAAAGTAATTTAGTTGTTCTGATTTACAGAATATATAATGTGTCTGGAATTTTAAGGTTTTTTTTTTTGGTAGTTACAGGTCACAAAGCACAAGGAGTAAAATAAAACTTTTAATGTGGAGCGATTTTAGAATTTGGTATGTTTGTCTTGTAAGTTTAATAGCCATAAAAGAAAACAAAATTGCCACACAAAAGTATATATTTATATAAAGTAGACATCACAGGCTATTTACCTGGGGTTATTTTGACACTTTTTAAGTAGCCATTTCACTGCCAATCTCTGCTAAATATTGTTTGACACACAAACTTATAACAAAGATCTTCTCATGTGTATTTCGTAAAGTGGGTGTGTGCTTTTCCTGTATAAAATCTAATTTTGTGTTCAGCTACACCTGCTAAGTACAACAATACCCCCATTGTCTTTGCACTATTTCGTGAAGCTTCCGTGCCGTATAGGAGACCTGTCCATTTTAGTATTTACAGTAGAATTCTGAGAGACTGATTTGAGTGGACTATGTTTCAATTTGGGGCATTATAGCAGTTTGACTGTTCGAAAGAAAACCACAAAGGCCTACCATTTGTAAAAGTAGACACCCCAGGGTATTTCAAAAGGCATATTTTAAACCTTAGTGTAGGATCATTCTAGTAATAATTTGCATTCTTTCTGCCTTTTTGACACACACTTGGAGATGTTACTGTATATTTTGCAATCCTTATGTGTGCTACGGCAGTATAACACCTAATATGTTGCAGCTATGTCGTCTTAGTACAACAATACCCCCATGTTTACCTTTTTCAGGAATATGTGAATGTTGATGGGGCACATTGGAGACCAAGCCTTATCAGTTTTTTTCAAACTTTAAATTTTGACGCTGGGTCCATGTGCAATTTTATAGCATCTTAGCAGGTTGATAATTCAAACTACCCCACAAAAGCCTACCATTTCATAAAGAAGAGACGCCAGGCTATTTCAAAATGCATTTTATTATTTTTTGTATTGTTTGAATTTTATTTGAATCTGTATACAAGTGTACATCTTATTCAATATACGTAAATGAAGGTAAAGGAAATAAAGACATAGAAAGATATCGACAATGGTTTGGCGCGACAGGCGCTAATTACATTAATAGGGAGACTGTTTTGGCACAGTAGTAAATGGTGGCTAGTTTGGTGCACATATTTCTGAGCTGCACAGCTAAGTCATAGATAAGCAGAGGTGTTAATCGGGATGCACTAGAATAGATAGAGCAAAACTGGTAGAGTCGGATCTCGAGTGTTCACAGGAACAGGTGTCTTGGATCTAGGCAAGTGTCACTGGATCGTTCAGGTGACAGTTCCTTTTGCTTGTGTTGCTGCCCTCGTAGTTTTTATTGGTGGCAGTTTGAGCTGTAGCAGGAATGCCTCTGTGTCTCCCGAAGAGGATAGTACCGTAGTGGTATCACTCTGCTGGACGGTCAGTGAGCCGTCTTTTCCCCAGCGGTATTTCACCTCATGACCCCGTAGGTGGCCAGCTATGGAAGCCAGCATTCTTCTCTCCAGCAGAACGGAAAAGGGTAGGTTTCTGTAGATTGCAACTGTGCAGCCCTCGAACTGGCCGATTACCAAGACTCTGGAGCGGGTCAGGAAGGCAGAACGTTTTGCAACGTCCCTGGTGACCACATTTGTGTCTCTGGGTGCTCCTGCTGGTGCCGTTGCAGCCTTGCGGACTCTGAATTCTGAGGTGAAAAGCCTGGGGTCAGTTCCACCCTTAATGCCCATTGTTGTGATTAGCCTCCGGGTAAAAGGCAGCAATGCCTCCTCCCTTATTGTCTTGGGTATACCGCGGAGGCAGATATTCCGACGTCTGTGTCGGGACTCCATCACAGAAATTGTCTGGTATAGCCTCTGCATTTGCTGAGCAAGGCCTTCTACCTGGCTTTGGGTGGTTTGCAGCATGGCGTCCCGGGTGCTCTCCCCGGACTCCACAGCTTGTACCTTCTGGCGGAGGACGCCCATCTCCTCCTGGGTCTCTTTTAGGTCGGCTTTCCACAACTTTCGCAGGTCTGTCAGGAGCCTTTTAATATCTCCCTTCGTTGAGGGAGAGGAGTCCTCATCTGACTCTGCCTTTTGGGAGTCCTCTCTCGGGGAGGTGAGCAGTTCCTCCTGTTCATATGACTCTTCTGAGGCTTCTTCCTCCTCTCGAGGTTCCGGTGCCATCTTGGGAGGCGGCGGCAGGGTAGGCCACTCGAATGAGAGCCTTATATCTGGCACTCTTGGGCTCTCCAAGCCTCGAAACTTTCTATTCCTGCGCCCCATATTATTAACCCCCCACCAGATATCGGGTATTTGTCTCCCCAATGCTCTAGATGGTTTAAATGGTGTATTTAGGCCGTTTTTGGTACGGAGCTCAAAGGAGACGCGTCTATGTTTCAGCTCGGTCGGCCACGCCCCAAAAGGCATATTTTAAATCTTAGTGTAGGATCATTTTTTTGCTAGTTTGTACCATAGCTAGTAGCAATTAGCATTTTTTCTGCTTTTTAAAAACACACATGGAGATGTTACCTGTGGCGTACCTACCACGGTCGCAGTGGTCGCAGCCACAACCCCTGCGACCGTGGGCCGCCTGGATACCCCCCAAGGTGTCTGACAGGAGAGGAGGGCTGTGCTGCTCCCCTCCTGCCTGTGTGTATCGTGGCCGAGCGTTCTGTCTGGAAGTGCTCACTAAAAGAGCACTTCCTGTCAGACCGGGATGCAGCCCCCAGTGTTCCTCCTGTCATAGGGGGGCCCACCTAATGGACCCCCCGGCGGGCAGCTGTGTTCCCAGCATAGGTGACGAGGGAGCTGTGTTCTCCCTGCTCTGCTCCCTCGCAGGCCGTTTGCTGATGCCGGGAGCCGGAATATGACGTCACAGTAAATCAACATATCGGGTTTTTTTCAAACTTTTAATTTTGACGCTGGGTCCATGTTTAATTTTAGAGCATCTTAGCAGGTTGATAATTCAAACTATCCCACAAAGGCCTACCATTTCTTAAAGAAGACACCCCAGGCTTCTTCAAATGACATAGTTTAAACCTTAGCGTAGGATAATTTTTTTGCTAGTTTGTACCAAGTCTAGTAGCAATTAGCATTTTTTCGGCCCTTTTGACACCCTGGCTGTCACAGCGATCACATGTGCTGGGACAGCGCTACTGGCAGTTGCTGGTCTGCCTGGGACACAACTGCGGCGATCTGACGTTAACGTTAGTAAATGACGAAAATTTTATGTCAAGCGTCCTTACCGGTAGGACAAGCTCAACAGAAAATATCCGTCAAGCGTTGTGAAGGGGTTAAAGGAACATTCGAACGTTTAGCAATACAAACATATATCCACAATATGAGTGATATAGAGGTGATTTTGATATATGCTCCTCCAGCAGTTAAAATAAGCTTTTAGAAACTTACCATATTTACCCAGGAGATCGTCATTAATACTGGTCATCTCAAACAATCCAGTGCGTCTCCACAGGGAAGCATTGCGAGTCAAGCACGCATGCGCAGCAACTGCTACCCTGTGCCAATCAGCATCTTCTCGTAGAGATACCATGACCATGACTCAATTTTATCTCTATGGTGAGTGTGCGGCATTATCATACAGACCATGGAGATACCAAACGTCAGTCCTCCAATCTTTGCAGGCCTGCAAGCAGGAAGCTCCACTAATTGGCTGTCAGAGTAACAGTAACTAGAGGTGGTGTTAGGCACTGCTCAACCTGCAGTTACAATCTCTTTTTCCCAAGACAACTACATTAACCCCTTAAGGACCAAAGTTCTGGAATAAAAGGGAATCATGAAATGTCACACATGTCATGTGTCCTTAAGGGGTTAAAGGGACACTATAGTCACCAAAACAACTTTAGCTTAATGAAGCAGTTTTGATGTATAGATCATGTCTCACTGCTCAATTCTCTGCCATTTAGGAGGTAAATCACTTTGTTTATGAACCCTAGTCACATCTCCCTGCATGTGACTTGCACAGCCTTCCTAAACACTTCCTGTAAATAGGCATCTAAAGTTTATCCTTTCTTTATTGCAAGTTCTGTTTAATTTGGACTTTCTTATTCCCCGCTAATAGCTTGCTAGACCCTGCAAGAGCCTCCTGTATGTGATTAAAGTTCAATTTACAGAGAAAGAGATACAATTGTTTAAGGTAGGGAACCCTTAAGCGCCGGGCAGGGAACTCTCCTCCTCCTCTATATCGCCGTCTTCAGCTGAGTGCGCACGCGCGGCAGGAGCCGCGCACAATCAGCCAGTCCATAGGAAAGCATTCTCAATGCTTTCCTATGGACGCTGGCGTCTTCTCACTGTGAAAGTCACAGTGAGAAGCGTGGAAGCGCCTCTAGCGGCTGTCAATGAGACAGCCACTAGAGGCTGGATTAAATCTATTATAAACATAGCAGTTTCTCTGAAACTGCTATGTTTATAGAAAAAAGGGTTCATCCTAGCTGGACCTGGCACCCAGACCACTTCATTAAGCTGAAGTGGTCTGGGTGCCTATAGTGGTCCTTTAAGCTGAAGTTGTTTAGGTGACTATAGTGTCCCTTTAAGCTGTAGTGTTTCTAGTGCCTAGAGTGTCCCTTTAACATGGCTGTCATTTAAAGAAAACTGAAATCTAGCAAAATCAAGTTATATAGAGTAAGGCAATCTGCCCACCAAATGGTAATAAAATGGTAATAACACTGAAGAATTGTGTTTAAAATCCACAATTTGGCACTTAAAAAAACAAACAAACAAAAAAACAATAATTGGAAAGTCTGCCTTCTAAGTCAGTACGGACGTTGTTGGCGTGTCATCTGAACAATGGAGCAACATGTGGACAACACATTAACGCCTCTTGAGAAAATCTACACTAAAGATCTAAAGCAGTGGTTTGTAAACTAGTATTTAGAATATAGGATTATCCCCTTGTGTTCCAATGAATTGTAGAGATAATTTGCAAGACCACAAGGTGGTACATACATCTGTAGTAATATTTCAGAGAATCCAGCTATAGGAAAGAAGTTATTTTTTATTATTCTCTTCTCAGAAGAAAAACGGAGGTGTACAGTCTTCTGATATTAAATTATTTATAGGAGAAACGTCACTTCTTAGGCTTTTAAATATTATGTTTACTGTATATAGTAAATTTAAATGTAAAAATCCACACATCTCTATCCTGCAACTGGGCGCCTCCATCTTTTCTCCCTGTCAATCATTGTTAACAGCTCTGACAGTCAGCGTAGAAAGAAGATGAGAAAGAAAACAATGTTTCATGAAAATGAAGATGCAATACAGAAATTATATGTACATGCCATCCAACAGGCCCTGTGCTCAACTTTTTCATCACCTGGGAACCCCTTGTTGTGGCATGACGAGACCTCTCAGCGTATGTCAGATGCTGGTACATTTTTATAGAAGCCCTCACAACCCGCATTTTGGATCCACGACTATCGGGTTATACGACTACTGTGTTACTGGAAGGAAATGAGTAACTAAAGCAGAGGAGATAGATTACGATAATAGAGCCTTCTACATCGATCCCGCTGGCCCAGTTTCTTACCAGTAGACAAGAATAGTGTGTTTCATGTAGTGTATCAAGTTTCTTGATTCAAACAGCAAAGGGATGTCAAGGATGACGTACCTATAACCTGTGGGATTATTTGAAATGTTATTACTGCTCCTACAGTATTGGAAATATGACATTGTCACAAAAGGGGAAAGTATCAAGAATCAGTATAAGAACGAATATTATAGACCAGGGGTGCCCAAAAGGTAGATCCCCGGATTCTTTAAAACTACAGCTTCCATAATGCTTTGCATGCCTTAAGAATTCCTTTAGAAAGACAAAGCATCATAGGAGTTGTAGTTCTAAAAGATCTGGGGATCTACCTTTTGGGCAGTCCTGTAATAGACCTCAGGGAGGCAAACATTTTACGGCTGACATCTTGGCAATAACCGTCTTTCCCAAAAATACTCTACGACTTCATACCAGTAGAAAATAAAGTTTGGATTTTGTATAACTATATTGTGGATTTCCCAGGTTTTGTATTGATTGGGCCAAGATCTGTGACCAAAACAATAATAAATCACAAATTGATGAGTACGCTATGGCTGTACGACTACTTATATGGGTTTGGAGGTATGACCAGGAGGTAGGCTATTTCACGACCTCATAGTTATTTTATGTAACTTAAGATGTAATTTAGAATTTAGCTAATTCAAAGATAATTTCAGTACAATTTTCCAGTTTGGCCATTTTGACTTTAAATTTGAAATTCACTTTGAATTCTCCGTTTAGTGAATAACTCTGATAGGGATTTTACCAAAGCAAAGATTACCATTCTAAAATGACTAAAGTATGATTTCTTAAAGAGACACTATGGTCACAAGAACAACTACAGCTATTGTATTTGTTCTGGTGAGTAACAGTGTTTACATTACAGCCTATTAGTACCTACACAGCCTACTCCTCAGATGGCTGGTAGAGATGCTTCCTGGGGCAGTGCTGCACACTGTGCAGTACTGCCATTCAGTGTCTCTACCCTCTGCATGGAGACACTAAAAATTCCTCATAGAGATGCATTGATTCAATGCATCTCTATGAGGAGATGCTGACTGGCCAGGGCTGTGTTTGACTTGGGCTGGTTCTGCCCTGGATCTGCCTCCTTGACAGTCTCAGCCAATCCTATGAGAAAGCATTGTAACTGACTCCAAACAACACTTTTGATGATGTCAGCCAAGCAGGCAGATCAGTGGGAAGAGGCAGCAGCTTCAGACTTGAATACAAGTAAGATTTTACAATATATATGGGGGGTAAGATGGACCAGGGGGGCTAAATGGTGATTTTAACACTACAGTGTTCCTTTAAACTAGCAGGGTTATCCTACAAAAGAGACTTGTCAGGAATTCAAAGTGAATGTCAAATTGTTTGAACTGCAAGCATAGCAGAGTTGGCAAAATTATCCAATTCAGCTACTTTGGCCTTGGCTGTTAGGAATTTCAAATTTATTACTCTAGTGCATAACCCTGAGATGTACAAGAAGGCTAGCTCATAAATAACTGTCTGGTTGCTAAACTATACAAATACAACTGCACAAAATAATTTGACATCTGGAATATCATGCAACCAGCTACCCTGACATCACTCTGAGCATGGTCACTGACATGGCTCGGTGTTTAATTCTCTTTAATAAAACTATTTTACGTATAAACTTTAGGAGCGTCTCAGATCTGACAACAATGACACTTTAATAAAATAAAACAAAGATAAAAATTGTATTGAGATGTCATATACCTCCGTTTTGTATCTAATTACATTTCAGATCTATTCTTTTCATTTTACATTTTTATTGCTTTATGATCCGTGCACATAGCATCTCAATGTCTCTATCGCTCCCGAAGTGTCGTCAAATTTTGTCCTGTAGCTTTGTGATAATATCGTCTGTTAAAATGTGGGTTTCTTAATGCTGATCTCAAAAGGTCAAGATGAATAAACTAGTCTGGTTGAGAATCATGGGAATTGTTCTAAAAACATGTGCATTGCCAGTTATCTATCACTGGTACACATTCCATATATGCAGTTTACATTTGTAGAGTAGAGTCCAAGTTTCATTCTTTACATTGTAATTTCAACACAGAAGATAAGAGAAATAGGCATTAAATTATTTCACTGTATAAACAGTCAACCCCTATAGACTACCCTGTCTTTTAAACGGTGCATAAAAGGCAGCCTTGGCTATCGCTAACCATTCATTAACATCTGAATTTAATAAAAGGTTTCTCCATTTCTGTTTCATGGACTCTGCCCTCCTCCCCCTTACACAAATCCTCTATTTTTCATAATCCAACAAACACCTCCTGTTATCCTATAACGGCAGATCTTATCAGCATGGACTGACATATTTATATAATAGGGATTGGCATCTCCAAGGGGAAAGGATAATACTTAGCCTTTGCGGTTTTATATTCCAGATTCTAACTCATTGTCCCATATGGCTAAATGACATTTTTCACCAGTTTCTTGAAAAAAAATGAACCTTTAATTTCCCTCTTATTCGTTCTATATGGACACTTAAAAACATGAAAATTTGCAAACAATTTGGCAACTGCTATGGGGTGAGGGGATAAATTAAGAGGTAAAAAAAAAAAAAAAAAAACCACACACACACACAACTTATGAATTTATTAAAAATAAATCACTTAAAAAGTAACTTTTGGTGAATTAAAAACCAGAATTTGCTGAATTTGGACCAAATTAGCTTGGATGTAATATTCTTCAAATACTACACTGGGGTTACTGCTGCAAATTCAGTTTTTTCAATTCATCAGAATTAGTTGTTAAGTGAATAAATCTTGATTTTAGAAAAAGGCTGTGGTTCAGTAAAGTGATATAATATACCAGGAATAATGGAATTCATTGGGGGAGATTTAGGAAACGGTCACTGAATAGTCTGTCTCGGTCATGTATTCATCCGCTTATAAAAATGTGATTAATGGCATTTACTGTCCACACAGGAAAAGTTGTGCCGATCAGCAACCAAATCCACAGAAGGATTAATGCTGAGCAGCAATTATGCAAATGGGAACCTGGTAACTGCCTTTGGGGTCAAAGGCCGGTTACAGCCTATTAGATCTAGAGGAGGGGTATTTAGGCCCAGTTCTCATCCTGCTCAGTACCCTGTCGTGGTTTCCCTTGTGGTTGTCTGAGAGTGCGTTATTGATTCTGGTATTTCTGGTTATTTGACTTTGGCATTGTTTTTTAACTTCCCTGTTTTCTGGTATCCCTGACTCCTGGCTTTTCCTTATCGTTGTGTCTCTTTCTGTTTCCCTTGACCTCGGCTATTCCTGACTATTCTTTGGTACGTTAGTCTGGCCATTCTAAGGTCCGGTATATGTTACCTACTAGTCCTCTGTGTTACACAGTTCTACGTGCTGGATCATTCTGTAATCCTGACAGTCTCTTATTTGGGATTTTTATTCTGACTGTCTTTTCAACTAATTATTTTTGCAGCTTATCATCTTTTTGTTACTTCCGTGGTTCAGTTTGTACAGCATATTGGATTTATAGATATTCTAATTGCATTTTATGTTACACCATTTAATAGCATAGAAAGCAAGACAGAGCATGCAGAATAGTTATTCTCTATTAGTGGGACATATCTTGGGTGAGTTCCAACACTTTATTCCCCAGGACTTCACCCCTGGTTGTGTTAGTGAAAACACCCTGTCTATATCGTGTGTGTGTGTGTGTGTGTGTATTTGTTTATTTATTTTTTTCCCCTCCATGCTTCTAACCCTCTTTGTGCCACAGGGGAACACTACATTCCCTCGTGGCCCGGTGGTACTTTAAGTTTCCAGCTTTGCAGTATTGAGTTTCCATGGTAAGGCGTGGCAACGCTCTGACAGCTGGAAATCGCTAGAGAGTGAGGACCTGCCGGAGACGGAAGCTGTCAGTCTCCTGGGCCCACTCCCTCACAATACAAAGCAGCAATGGCACGTGGACCAGCAGGTAGAAATATATAGGTTATACAGAGCGATATTTGAGATGTGTATACACACTAGGAATATAGGGCCCAGGCCCCATACACTGGTATGGCCTATACCCACGGGATGGGAGACCTGAGAGCAATCCAAAACAGAGTTCAATGTAGTGCAGTCATAGAGGTAGTTAATGGTTCACTGAGGCTTGTACCCAATAATCAACTCTGGTGGCTCCCAGTAATCTGTACAATATTAGGAACTAAGAAATGTTATTCCAGAAAGTCTATGGTTGCCCTCTCTCTTGTGTGAAGATGACTCCTTACCTAAACGCGGTACGTAACCTCTGTGCACTAGTGTGCTGCTACATTTTAATAAAATGTACACAGAGTACAGAAACAACAGGCAAAGTCTTCCTTCTGGCCTTTTTCCCCAGAGTGTGTCAGCAGAGCAAAGCAGATTTGTGATCAGAGTCTCCCCTGAACTTGAAAGTTCCGTAAAAAAATCAACTAGTGAAATGAATAATTGCTCATCGTAAAGTATTTTTATTATATCACAAAAATCCTTGAATTAATGTAGGATGTGATTGTTTGCCTACAGATTTTGTGTTCTGAGCAGCTTTTCACATGGATCTCTACGGGTTGTTTACTCTGATGTCAATGGTTCAATGAATAACTGGTTATTAGAGGAATCCGTGATCCCATTGAGGATCCTATTATGGCTGGGTTCAGTACTGACCCCTATATGGGCACCCGCTAGTTTGCACAAAAAAGCTAGACCGCACTGTGATAGAAAGTGATGATCAAAGCAACCTGGAATTTCTATTTGATTAATACACTCTTAAGAAAAATGTTCAGCTTTGGTTCCCCATTATCAAATAATTATATCCTTTAAAGAGAATTTATTTGCGTTTCTTTCCGTTTTACCCCATTATCGAATAATCATATGTAACGGATCACCTGGCACCCCGACTGGGTACCTCCGTTGAAGGATGGTCCTAGCACTTCCTGAGATCTCCAAGCACTCCAGCCAACACCATAACCACCGTAGACTCCTTCAGAGAGCAAGACAGGAACAAGCTCTTACAAGAGCTTAGAAGTGATTTAGCAAAGGAGTATGACTAGCATAGCAATCACTTGTAGCAGATTCCCCTAATAAGAGACAGCACTCTAAATTGAGGGTGAACTAGAACGGTTTAAAACTTTATTTTACTTTAGACTAGCCCATTTGGTCATTACATTCACACTGCTGTGAAAACTCAATAAAATTACAAACCGTCAAATCATAGCAAGCAACATACAGTGACTTATAACATAATTACATATTTATAAATGGGTGGGGAAGACCATAATTAACACAAAATGTCTCTCCTGCATGCAGAATTAGCGATATGCAAATCTACCTGAATATGCAAATTACCAGTCTTGCTATTCAGGTAGTGCATATTACTGTTGCTACCAACAGAGGGCACTACACAAGCTCCATAGCCAAATCCACCTAGTTGGTAGCAATCCTCAGCAGTACAGGAGAGCAGGCAATACATCCCAGGGGCCATAGTCACATGGCAGGAGGCTGGCAATCAGTCTTCTCCAATGCCCAGTGGCGAGGCTGGTTCCGCCACATTTCTCCCCTTTTCCAAACAGACTAACAGGGTATCTGACCTCCTGCCGGTCAGTGCCCTGGTTAGTCCAGCAACCCACCCACGAAGCACAAACAGTAATACAGCCCACCCACAATACATGGTTACTACACCTGGGTAAAAGATTAGCTTGTCCATGTCCAGGTGCCTCACCACGGCTGTGTGGGGTACTGATAGGCTGCCTTGGTGGGTTGCTGAGTGGGCAGAGACCCGCGGTACTCTGCCCTGGTGCCAGCGCTACCACGGGAGTAGCCTGGTTGGAGCCATGCTGAAAAGAAGAGTTGGTAGGCTCCTCTCTCGGGATCTGGGGCTGCTGCTGGAGGGGGAGACCGACTGTCTCCCCTTTGGTTACATAGTCCTGAGCTGGAGGGGGAGACTGACTGTCTCCCCTTTGGCTAAACAGCCCTGCTGCTGGGGACAGGACCGACTGTCCCTACCCCGGTGGTGCATGTGCAGAGACCACGGTCCCATCTGCACTGTTGTGGAGCTTACTGTCTCCCCTTGGTGGGCTAAGCTGCCGCTGGGGAGAGGGGGTAACAAGCTCCTCTCCCATACATACTTTCAGCCGCTGGGGAGAGGGGATAACAAGCTCCTCTCCCTGACACTCTCTCTGCTGTTGGAGAGGGGGACCGACTGTCTCCCCTTTCAATATATTGTCCCGCTGCTGGGGAGCGAGACCAACTGTCTCTGCTCCCTGCCGGACACACTGCTGCTGGGGAGGAAGGAGGCACCTTCGGCTCCCTGGGACTCGCTTGACTGCTGGGGAGAGGGACCGACTGTCTCCTCTCCCAAGAACTCACACTGCCGCTGGGGAGGAAGGACGGCACCTTTGTCTCCCTGTAATTCACTGGACTGCTGGGGAGAGGGACCAACTGTCTCCTCTCCTAAGGACACACACTGCCGCTGGGGAGGAAGGATGGTACCTTCAGCTCCCTGGGACTCACTGGACTGCTGGGGAGAGGGACCAACTGTCTCCTCTCCTAAAGACACACACTGCCGCTGGGGAGGAAGGACGACACCTTCAGCTCCCTGTAACACACACTGCCGCTGGGGAGGAAGGACTGCACCTTCGGCTCCCTGGGACTCACTGGACTGCTGGGGAGAGGGACCAACTGTCTCCTCTCCTAAGGACACACACTGCCGCTGGGGAGGAAGGACGGCACCTTCAGCTCCCTGGGAAACATACTGCCGCTGGGGGGGAAGGACGGCACCTTCGTCTCCCTGTAACTCACTGGACTGCTGGGGAGAGGGACCAACTGTCTCCTCTCCTAAGGACACACACTGCCGCTGGGGAGGAAGGACGGCACCATCAGCTCCCTGGGATACATACTGCCGCTGGGGATCTGGGCCGACTGCCCAGCATCCCTGTAGGGCCGGTAGAGAGACCTCGGTCCCATCTCCACCTGCCAGCTGGGTGTCTTCCCAGGACAAGTCAATAAGGTCTTCCATCTCTGGGGCTGGTTGGGACATATGTGGTACAGTACCAAGGTCCCCTGATAACAGGCTTGGTTGCTGGGGAGGAGGAACTAAACTCAATGCTTCCGGTGGTATACAGTCAATAAGCCCCATCATGTCAGAGACAGGCGGTGTTATACGTTGGAATAGGCAAACATAATCCTGTTCTAGTTCCCACTCCCGGTTGGCAAGAAAAGATAGATCTGGCTGAATGGCATCGATCTCCATAAGGTCCCAGTTGTCTGCCCGCTCAGCTCGGATGGACCAGAAGCGAGCAATGTCGGTGTCTCCGAACCAGAGACTAGTTTCAATAGTATCCCACAACAAACCAGGGCCATCGTAGTCTTCCCCCTCAATACACTTGTACTCGATCAGCCATGGGTAGAGGTGGTAACATGCCACCGCAGGGCCCGATAGGAATCATCCAGCCACACCTCAGTCTCAACTAGCGTCTCCAGTTCGCTTACCCATTCCTCTGAGGGCTGGTTTCCCAATAACGGCATCCGCAGCTCTAGTTGTTCTGCTTGGCGCTGGTTAGTGGTCAGGATTTCCTCGCACCAGAAGGGTCGAATTTCGTTGATGTCTTCCTTCCAGAGATCGGTATGAAGCGCCACCCTCCACGCTGGGATGGGATACTCCATACTGCGCATCACATCCTGTAGTCGCTGCTGGAGCCTGGCGTCAACGTGAGATACTGCACGTCCTCCATCTCTGAAGTAGTGCTGGTTTTTCCAAGGCTAGGAAGCCATCCCACCGCTGCCACCAATGTAACGGATCATCTGGCACCCCGACTGGGTACCTCCGTTGAAGGATGCTCCTAGCACTTCCTGAGGTCTCCAAGCACTCCAGCCGACACCAAAACCATAGAAACATAGAATGTGACAGCAGATAAGAACCATTCGGCCCATCTAGTCTGCCCAATTTTCTAAATACTTTCATTAGTCCCTGGCCTTATCTTATAGCTAGGATAGCCTTATGCATATCCCACGCATGATTCAACTCCTTTACTGTGTTAACCTCTAAAAATTTGAATTTGGCATAGCTTCAGCCAAGTATGGTTCTATTGGCATCTACCAATCTCAGAGTTGTCTTTGAGACTACTATAGAGTTCATCTTGATATTGTTCAAACTTAGGCTTGTGTGTGGCTGCTTGGACATGGACACACAATTTGTGTCCCACAACCATATTTTCGTATCTACACAACCAAGTAGATACCCACTGTCCAAATAGCGCTCTTAGAGCCTGTATGGTGTTACATCTCCACCTGCTCATGGGTTTGACCAGCAGCAATAGTATTCCGATCCAGGAAACAGATCTACGCAGTCCGCCATGTTCCTTGGTGTCTTCCGGCAGATCTTTAAAGGACTGATAGGAAACTTGGTGGCTGTGGCAGTGGAATCTCAGTTAGGCCGTGTCTTCTAAGTGAAGTTGGGAGCCAGGGAAAGGCAATATAGTTTTTATTAATGTTTATTAATTTATTAAGTCATTCTACTACCCTTGTCTGTTCTTGGAGATCTGGAGACAGCACTTGTTTTTATACACTTGTCAGCAATGGGACTTGCTGAAGTAGCCAAATTATTTGCCCTTATTTTGACCATGACTCTTCTTGGGACTACAAATACAACCATCCATGAACTTCAGATCTGAGTCCTTTACTTGAATTTCTGCTGCCCTAGTACATATGGCCCTTCATCCTCCACAACTATACCTTCTTCACTGGGTATAATGCTAGATTGGTGTCACGGTTCTCACCGCAGCAGACAGACGTGGTCGCCCAAGGAGTTCCCTACAGGAGATTTGAACTGGGGAACTTCACAGTCCTGGTCCTGCTTCCTACCTCTGAGCCACAGCAGCTTTATTTATTTTTTTCAACCACCGTAGACTCCTTCAGAGAGCAAGACAGGAACAAGCTCTTACAACAGCTTAGTAGTGATTTAGCAAGGGAGTATGACTAGCATAGAAATCTCTTGTAGTAGATTCTCACAATAAGAGACGGCACTCAAAATTGAGGGTGACATAGAACTGTCTAAACCTTTATTTTACTTGGGACTAGCCCATATGGTCATTACATTAACATTGCTGTGAAAACTCAATAAAATTACAAACCGTCAAATCATAGCAGGCAACATACAGTGACTTATAACATAATTACATATTTATATATGGGTGGGGAAGACCATAATTAACACAAAATGTCTCTCCTGCATGCAGAATTTGTGATATGCAAATCTACCCAAATATGCAAATTACCAGTCTTGCTATTCAGGTAGTGCATATTACTGTTGCTACCAACAGAAGGTACTACACAAGCTCCATAGCCAAATCCACCTAGTTAGTAGCAATCCTCAGCAGTACAGGAGAGCAGGCAATACATCCCAGGGGCCATAGTCACATGGCAGGAGGCTGGCAATCAGTCTTCTCCAATGCCCAGTGGCGAGGCTGGTTCCGCCACATCATAATTCATTTTTTTTATTTTTATTTTTAAAAGCTCATCTTTAAGTTATTGATGTGCAATTATAGAAATTATTTAAAATCATGGGCTTTTCATCCTGGTTGCAGCTTCCCTAGCTTTGCAACGTAATGGAGAGTGGTCTTGTTGAGTTGTGAGAAAAAGGAAGAAGGCTGGAAGCTACTTAACATTCTTACTGACTATAGGAAAAAGAGAGAGATAGGGTTATTTAACAAAATGAGAACTGTCAGGAATTTGAAGTGAATTTAAAATGTAAGGTCAAACCAGCAGAACTGGAAGCATAGGTGACTGAGAATTCTTCCAGTTTGTCTACTTTGGTCTTAAGTTTGAAATTCACTTTTTCCCTGACAATTCTCACTTTAATAAATAACCCTATGATACTTCTACCTATGGATTTTGGAGTAGACAGAGTGCTTTAACACACACAAAAAAAAATAAAAAATTTGTCACCTTGTATGAATGCAAAAGTATGACAAATGCAGATTTTCAGAAGTACAGTGCTAAGATGACAAAGTGCAAAAGTAATAATAAAAAACACTACTTATACTGTTGTTGGCTAAGATAAAGTTCCCTAAATCTGTCCTATTTTTCACATTTTAAAGTGTTCTATATTACTACCACTAGGGGGCATCCTAAGGTTTATTAATACATACACCCACAGCAAAAAAACAAACAAAAAAACAAGACTTGGTTGTTCCCTAGTCCAACATGCATAAACTAAAGTTTCAATATCTATTCTGGCCCCTATATATTTGACAACCGACCTTATCGAATTAAGTGCAAAAGAGAAAATAATTTAGTACCCACGTTTTTTTGTTTCTTTCATATACCAAGGTCGTCAGGAGAGCTATTGAGGCCAACCTGACGCTTTGTCAGCTCAGCAGTTTACTACCGAAAATCATGAATTTATGTATTTGTCATACTTTTATACAAGGTGATTACAGTTTTTCAGAGGAAACACTATGTACACTATTTGAAGTACATTTGATAAATAATGATAATATAAAAAGGTTATATATCAGAACTCTGGCTTTGAACTAGCCACTTGTAACTTTCTCTTAAACATCATTCAGAAAGAATGTCAAAGTAAAAAAGTATCCACAAGTTTACAACAACATTAGGAATACAAACCTGTATTCCTAAAGCTAGAGTGAGCCCTGTACCTAACTTATTAGCCCCCCTCACCACTGCTCTTGGAAGAATTAAAAATCCCTTTTTTAACATATTCCTCTTTCCAGCACAGAAGTTCCTTCTCCTTCTGCAATATCATGGTGAGTGCTAAAGAAATTGTAAGATGTTAGATGTCCTCAAGCAAAGAGTGAGGACATGCAGCGTCATTTCACACAGTAAAACTCTGTGAGCAACCAGGAAGTGCCTCTAGCAGCTGTCTGGAAAGCTGTCACTAGAGGTTGTCTTAGCCCTGTAAACACTGCAGTTTTTCTGCAGGGTTAAAGGGACAAAGCCATTGCACCCAGACCATGTCAATGAGATAAATTGGTCTGAATACCTATATTGTCCCTTTAAAATTGAATAAATAAAATAAAATAAATAAACACTTTAAAAAAAAAAAATCAGTCTCTGTTGTATTATGTTAAAAACATGATTATTCTTAACTTGAATTATTTTTTTTGCTCAGAGTGTTAGCTACTCACTTGGCAGCTAAAACACTAGGTTTGTAATAACTATTTACGTGTGCCCACCTCACACTCCCCAAAACAAAAAAACTAAAACCTTTTTTTTAGGTGTTGGCAGGTCTGTTTTTGTGCTAGACACAAATGATGTGCTTAGTAAATGGTTATAAAAATCGAATTTTATAAGACATTGAGGCAGCAGTTCCACATTCAACTTACCTAAGAAAAAATACCAGAGTATTTGCTTTAGCATTGCTTTTCGGATAGGTGAATGTGTGATTGAGTTTAGCAAGCCCCGCTTTTCTGGATCAGAGAAAATAATTGATCCTAACTTCTCACGATCTAGCTCGCCATTATCCAAAAGCACCTCTTTTCCAAAATGATATACGATCTTGTTGTATGCTGGGGTCCCCTGTTGAACCACTAACAAAATAGAATACAAAAAGAAGAAAAGAGAGAAAGAAAAGTCAGATTCTCTGAAATAGTGGTAAATGTATGAGTGTATGCCATTTGTAAGGTAGCATAGTTAGAACCAACACAACTTTAGAGATTCCACTCATTGGCTATAGTAAAATACAGATACTCCAACTGCTTGTTATTACTCCTGCCATCTCATCCAACCAGCCCATGACTTGATGGTACTGATGCTTGAGGTAAAAACCAAAATAAACTCTCCCTCTCCGCTGCTCACCTCTCTGCCTCCTGCAACATTCTCAAGAAGACATGGCCACCTCCACAGATGGTTCAATCCAATGGACCTCAGAGAAGCATTGAGGGCCTGATGCACGTGCGCAGCTAGCAGTGTGCACGCATCCAAGCTTCCCCATAGGAAAGCACTGTATTCAATGCTTTCCTATGTATGTGTCACACGACCATAACTTACCGATTTTTCAGAACATTGCCGTTGCCACTAGAACATTGCCGTTTCTACAAAAATGGCGATGATTTACCTTGGAGGGTTAAACATACAGGACGACAACACCCAGACTATCTCACTGAGATGAAGTCATCTGGATGACTTTAGTAGGCCTTTAAGAGCAACTATACTACAGCAGCAGAGGAGTCATTGCTCAATTGTTTTTGCAATTTATGAGTTTTGTTACTTTTGTTTCTGTTTCTGCTCTCCTAGCCACACCTCCCTGGCAGTTTCATTTTCAATCAGAGGTGATACCACAATGTGTTTACTTTAAAAGGTTTTTTTTTTTATCTCCTGCTCTGTTGATTGAACTTTAATCACACACAGGAGGCTCTTGCAAGTAATTAACAGAGCAGGAGATAAGAAATTCTAAATTAAACAGACTGTGCAATAAAGGTCTAATGTGCAATAAAGTTAAAACATTATCTCTCTCTTTACAGAGAGTGTGTACGTCTCATACAGGGGAGTTGATTTGACTCATATATGGCAGAGAAGTGTGCAAGGACATGATCTATAAACCAAAACCACTCCATTAAGTTAAAAGTTGTTTTGGTGCTTATAGTCCATTAAAAGAGGTGGTAGGTTGGCAGTGTGCCACTCCATATACCTACTCCACATGTGGTGAATTAAACTCTGCCCTCAAATGCTGCTATACCCTGAGACTCTATTCTTAGGTCAAACAATTCCTAGGTAGAAATAACACAATGGGTAAGAGCTTTATGTACTTCCCTTCGTCTGGTTCATAAGAGAATTTCTGTGAAAATAAAAGGAGGCAAACTATAGTACAAATAAAATGGATGCACTCACAAATATAGAGCCATAAACGTAATTCGCTGTAGTGTGTAGTGTTTTCACAGTCGTTAGGGGGATCCAAAGACCCCTTCAATAAGGTGCAACCAGTGCTGGAATAAAAAAAAAAAAAAAAGGATAATAGTATAATACTGTTAATTGAATCTAGAGGAAGTAAATACTGCTTGCACTCACTTGGGTTAGATGACACAGGGCAGTATCATCATAAATGAAGGATAAATCATGGATCCCTTGGGTAAGTGATTTCCAAATCTATTCTTATAATTAAAATAAAACCAATATCAATAAAAAAATAAAATTTAAAAAAAAACACTTAAAATAAAAGTTCATAAAATTAATTATATTGTGATGGGATTCCAGCATGGTTAAAATTTAGTAGGCCAAAATCTCCATGTGGCATATGTGTATGTTGTGTCAGTTGGTTAGCTACATGTAGCTAGGATACTGTCATCAGTGTACTGAGCATGTGCAGGAATGCAGGAACTGAAATTGCACTTATTTCCTTTGTCTTGGATGAGCCATGTGGTTTGACTAGATGTACAAGTCTATATTCTGCTCATTGATTGGTTAAAGGTATATGTGGGTGTAGCTATTAATGGGAGGAGTTATAGTGCTATATAAGGAATGTACACTATGTGTTGGTCTCTCAGAATGTTGGAACAGGAGTTCATCTGAGACCCGATCGGTAATGTGAATAAAGGCCTGTTACTTCCTGAAGACCTGTGTCCAATATTTCTGTGTTTGGCTTCTGCATGCTTACACTGCAACATTTCTGGTGCAATTGGGCAGGGAACCTCATCGCACGGAAGCTGGCACAGAGATTTGATACGGTAAACTTTTACCAAACCTTCTACGCTACAATCCTGGACTTCTACTGCGTGGACCTCCTTTCGTCTCGGCGCCACTGGCCTTTTGTCCAGGAGATCATCGGCTTCTGCGCAGTGAGTCCCGGATTGTTCCGTCTATGAGTGAACCCAGGTCCAGTAATTGACAGGTAAGATTGATACCGTTAGAGCGGTAGACCCACAAGGGGTTTTATATTTGGAACCGGTTATTGGAATCTGCCCTGTCCTTATGGATGGAAGAAGTGAAAAGCGCAACCCTTATTGGTTTGGGTCAGACTGAGTTCTGGTGTAAATAGCTCATGTCGGACACCGGTGTCCTGTCTTGACTAGCGTATCTAGGGTGTAAATTTTGTTCGCTAGGTCGGGGGGACCGGGAGACTAGCATACTCTGTTGTATATTATAGTTTGCTAGATTTCACCCTATCTTAACTAAGTGTGCTCTGTTGTAAATCCAGCCACTAGCTTATTGATAGTTTAATAGACTAGCTGGGTACTGTGTAAATTCTGCCCTCTAGTTCGCTATACGTGGTGTCTGGGCAGCGAAGAACTTATCGAATCTCTGGTGTATAAATAGATCGAAAGCTCTCGAGGTGCTGGCCAGTTAGAATAGTTGGGATTATTGTAAATGTTGTTAAATATATTGTAGTTGGTGAATTGGTTAACTTGTATGTCCTACTAGAAAGTTAGAGCTCTGCTGTCTAGTGGGAGTGTAAATTGTGTGTATAACTGTAAAATAGCGCACGGTACCATAACTACTGACATGTACCATAACCACTGACATTGTGTAAAAATTACTAACAATTGCTGTTTTATGTTATATGTATAATACCATAACTGTTACTAACTGATCTGTGACTTTAAAACTGTATTATAACCACTTACTAACTGTACCATAACCACTGACTGTAAAGATGAGGTTACTAGAATGTGATATAGTTGGTTAGTCAAGAGTTGATTTATAGTACAGATAATTGTAGAGATGAATTTGTTGAAATGTTATGTGATCGGTTAGTTTATATGGATTAATAGCGTGGATAGTTGTATGGTTTGAATAATAGTTACATTGATAAGTGTATAGTCTTTGGTGGGTTTTTGATTTAATTTCGTGTGTGCGACGTCGTGATATTGTTGAGCATGTGAGGATCCTGTGTGTGTGTTTGGGCCTAGTGACTGCGCAATGTGTTGCTGGTGATAAGGAGATTGGTGTGACTGTTGAAACTGTGTGTATATTTGTACAGCTTTTTGAATCAGATGCTCTGTTGAAATAATCTTCTGATTCACTAGGCTTTGTCTTGTATGTTTTAAAAAAAAAAAAAAAAGTAGGGAGTAGCCTGTCCTGGTGGCCGCATGGCCTCCATGTAGCAGTCTTCACTTAAATTTAGTGCAGGGTGTACATGTGGCTGTAACTAGTAGGCTGGAATTCTATGATCAGTTTCTATAAATTGACTGTTGGAAACTGATTTGTTGAAAAATTGCCTTGGTGAATTAAACTGTGTCATATGGGAAACAATGTAGCCATATGGTGGTCAGAACTAAGGACTTAATTACAACTGCTTTGGATATCCCCTCCCCCCCTGGCATCTGATTACCAACCCCCCAAACATCCTCCAGAGCCAGATTAGCCACGCCCATTTCTGGCTGGTATAATCAGTATTTGCACTCTCCCTGCTCTACTGTCCCCGCCTACCTACATACCTATCTGTTCCTGTGTTTCAAACTCTTGTATTTCTGTACTACCCCTCCCCCTAATCAATGATCAATGGTATCAAATGGTATATTGTTTTTTTTAGTTACTGGATGGGCCCCTCCCAGCTTTGTCCAAAATGTCCCCTTTTACTAAACTACAAACTGAAATGTTTAATTTACCTTAGAACTAAAGATTTAATCAAGCCTAGCTAGCAGGGTGGACATTGATTAAAATAAGTAATAATAAAATAGGACATAATTAATTAAAGTCTATTTGTTTCATTTGACTTTAGGGAGGCACTCTAGGCCACCTACTGGCCATCTTCGGGAGTTACATTGATAATACATTGTTTATAACAGATAGATGTAGGATTGCTTACCCTATTTTAATATATTTATTGCTATAAGGTTTTATTTTATGTATAAATATATTAAAAGTTGAGTTTTCTTATTAGACCCATAAAGATTATTTTGATACAATTACCCTCTGGTGACACCTACTGGTAGGTTTTTGGTTTAACACTTTAAACAAAAACGTTTTTTCATCCACCAAATGCCGACTAATAAAATTAGCTCACCCCCTTGCACCTATCTTACTACCCGTAGACTGGAACCTATTATTGGGCAGCCTTGCCGAAGTCCCATATTAGACACTGCTTGAGTCAAATAGGTTGTATACTCCCTTTAATCCAGAGGCCCCTGAAAACTTCCGAATGATAGACTCAGCATTTGTCAGCCAGGCCCAAGGTGATAGTAAAAGGAAATTACAGAAATTAGAGGGATTTGTAGGGATGTCCATAATACAGCTAATGGAGATTGCAAATACAGTATATATGAATAGGGAGAGAGGTGGAGGAAGAACGTAAAATGAGGAAAAAGGCAGATATGCTAGCGGTAGCTATCTTAAGTGTAGAAAGACAGGGAAGTGAATAGAGGAGACGAGAATAGGCTGAGCAAGGGACTTTAAGTAGGAATTAATGTGCGTATTGTAGAAAGGAGGGACATTGGAAGAGTGAGTGTCCACAGAGAGAGCAGTATGAAGGTGATAGACAAGGAGAGAGAAGGGTATGAGGAGGTTATAGTGGTAGTTATAGAGTAAGAGGAAGTTTTAGAGGGAATGGTGGGAATAGTAGAGGAAGTGTTCAAGGAGACAGATACTATCCACCCACGCAGAGACCTAGAGAAAGAGAGGATAGAGATTTTGTGGGTCTGGCTGACACTATCATGGAAGACTATTGATACCGACTGGGCTCCATCCCACTTGGTCGAGCGGAGCCTATGGTCGATGTAGCAATAGGGGGAAAGAGAAGTTCTTTCATGATCGACACAGGTGCTGAACATTCTGTGGTGACTAAGATGGTGGCTCCGCCTTCGGGGAAGACTATAACTGTGATAGGAGCTACTGGGAGAAGTGCAGCTAGACCGGTTCTTAAGAGTCGCACTTGTATTCTGGGAGGCCATGTGGTGAAGCATTAGTTCCTATATATGCCAGAGTGTCCGATTCAACTTTTAGGACGAGATCTATTATCGAAGCTTTAAGCTCAGATAACCTTTTACCTAATGGATTAACATCTCTGAAGTTTAAGGGATTACCAGGCATAATGGTGATATCGGTGCCAAGGGAAGAAGAATGACGCTTCTATTCCATAATGACAAGTGTTAACCCTAAGAGTGATGAATCCTTATTTGACATTCCAGGAGTATGGGAAGAAAATAATCCTCCAGGACTTGCTCGTAATATCCCACCAATACATATTGAGTTAAAGCTCGGGGTGTATCCTGTTAGCCTTTGTATGTTGTTCTTTTATCTACCCCAACAGCTGTAAAGGTGGCGGAAGTGACTCCTTGGATTCATCATTCTAAGGTTAAACCAGCAGCAGACTCTTGGCAAACTACTCCAGATCCTGAGAATCCTTGCAGGACCCGGTTGAAGCGTGCAACTCAGTCGGAGTGACGAGGGGATATCGAGACATTCTAGTTAAAAGTCTACAAAGATCATCAAGTAGGTGTTTTGACGGCCATAATAAAGCCTGACCACCTGCCTACGTGTCATAGCCAGAGTATCTTGAAGGGATCTCTGTGAAGGAAAGTGAGGATCAGAAGAACAACATCCTTGCAGCCCTCACAATCGGGAAGCTGAGAGGCCATCGCACGGTCGAAGAAAAATGAGGATTTCAGGAATAATGTGTTTTATTGTGTCTTAGTATTTTTATGATTTTTCAGGAAGGTAGGAGTACAGACATACCGAATTGCGATAGTTGCATTAAGACTACTAAAACAGGTAACCAAATATCCCAAACTCTCATCTGGCACTCACAGTATGAATGTAAGGGATCTGTATCTAAATGTAGATATTTGGATATTGATTATAGTGTGTGCAAGCCAATATCAGGAGAGTCTAAATGTTTTGATCCCCATTTCCAACCCCGTACAATTTGGTTGGTAATTCGGAATAGTAACTCCCAGGGGACATTACTAAATAGGACTGTGATAAGCACCATACATTCCACGGGTATTCTACTATTTGATGCATGTAAGGCGATTTCGGGTAGTGGAAGACTTTGGAATGTATGTGGTAATCTTAAATGGGAACGAACTTATGGGTTTAATGATAAATACTTATGTCCCAGTATAAGATCTACTGATCCTGATTGCCCAAATAGAGACTAACTTCTGCCCCTATTGGTCATGTGTAGGTTGGGCAACCTGGGAAAAACAGTGGATAAAGATATGATTATCCAAAGGTTGCCTACCACACCATACTGTAAAACTATGTGTGTAACCCCGTTCACATGACCATTTCCAATCTGCAGTACTTTATTGACAGGTTTGGAGGTCTGTTTGGGTTTCAAATATATGGCACAGGAGTAGATTCAGGAACAATAATATATGTAGGTCTTGAAACTGAGACAGTGGCAACTCAAACTCATCAGGTTTCTCATTCCTTCTATGAGGAGATGAGTATTGAGGATAAAATTCCCCATAATGTTAACAACCTATTTATTGATTTGGCTGAGGGTATTGCAGGTAGTCTTAATGTAACTAATTGCTATGTGTGTGGAGGTACTAATATGGGAGACCAGTGGCCATGGGAGGCAAAGGAAATATGGTACCCTGGCTCTGAGACATATGAACAACAGATACCTTTCCAGTCTGATCATCAAGTAAGTACTAGAAGTAAATTGGAATGGTGGTTAAAAACCTCCATTATAGGTCATGTTTGTATAGCCAGGAAAGGGACAATGTATAACACGTCTGTAGGTGAGCTAACGTGCTTGGGACAAAAAGCCTATAATGTTAATACTAAAAATACTACTTGGTGGTCAGCTTCAAATGTCTCGGAACCTACTAATCCGTTTGCCAATTACACTCATTTAAAGGAGGTATGGTTTGACTTATCGGCTACATCTAGTTGGAAAGCCCCAGCAAATTTATACTGGATCTGTGGTAAGAAAACTTATTCGGAGTTACCACAAGATTGGGAAGGGGCATGTGTATTAGGTATGCCAAAGCCATCCTTCTTCTTGTTGCCAATCGAAACAGGAGAGACCTTGGGAGTTAAGGTTTACGATGTAAATCATAAAAGGGAGAGAGCATCCTTGAATATAGGTAGCTGGGAAGATAATGAGTGGCCCCCTCAACGTATTATTAATTATTATGGACCTACTACTTGGGCAGAAGATGGCACTTATGGATATAGAACTCCGATTATATATGCTCAACCGCATTATTAGACTACAGGCGGTAGTTGAGATTATTACTTATGAGACAGCTCAAGTGCTTAATCTTCTAGCTAAGCAAAATACCAAGATGTGATCAGCCATATACCAGAATAGGCTAGCCCTTGATTACTTACTAGTAGTAGAAGGAGGTGTATGCGGAAAGTTTAATCTAAGTAACTGTTGTCTGCACATAGATGATGAAGGGCAGGCAGTGGCTGAACTTACAAGCCACATGGTTAAATTTGAGCATGTACCTACTCAGGTCTGGAATGGGTATAACCTAAGTAGTTGGTTTGGAAGTTGGTATGAGCAGCTTGGAGGAATTAAGACATTAGTAGGAGGAGTAGAATTTATTATATTTTTTTTTGTGCCTCCTCCTGCCCTGTCTAATTCCACTAGTGGTAAGGTCCCTACGTAGCATTATAGAGAGTACTATAGAGAGAAAGACAGCTGCCCATGTAATGGCTGTCTGGAAGATATGATCCCCTAGCCCGAAGAGAATATATTCAGGATGAAGAATGTTGAAGGAGTTTTTAAGATGCTTACAAGGTCTACTCTGGTTCAATGGCTACTTGAGAGATGTAGGTAAAACTGTGATTGGTGATGCATCTGGAATAATGTTATATCAGAGGCATCAAAAGGGGGGAATGTGATGGGATTCCAGCATGGTTAAAATTTAGTAGGCCAAAATCTCCATGTGGCATATGTGTATGTTGTGTCAGTTGGTTAGCTACATGTAGCTAGGATACTGTCATCAGTGTACTGAGCATGTGCAGGAATGCAGGAACTGAAATTGCACTTATTTCCTTTGTCTTGGATGAGCCATGTGGTTTGACTAGATGTACAAGTCTATATTCTGCTCATTGATTGGTTAAAGGTATATGTGGGTGTAGCTATTAATGGGAGGAGTTATAGTGCTATATAAGGAATGTACACTATGTGTTGGTCTCTCAGAATGTTGGAACAGGAGTTCATCTGAGACCCGATCGGTAATGTGAATAAAGGCCTGTTACTTCCTGAAGACCTGTGTCCAATATTTCTGTGTTTGGCTTCTGCATGCTTACACTGCAACAATATAAGTCCAATCACCATAACTTATCTGCCTTCTTCAGTTCATCGGGAGGATCCTGAAACACTATACACTAGAGCCAAGTGAATTTATGGCTCTATATTTGTGATTATCTTATCATTTAAGCAGTTTTATTTGTACTAGAGTTTACCTCCTTTTGTTTTTACGGAAGTTATTATATGATCCAGACTAAAAGAAGTACATATAACTCCACCTGTTGTGTGTGTATTATTTATACCTGAAAATAATTTGGCCTAAGTAAGAATGGAAGCTCAGGGTATAGCAGCCTTTCAGGGCAGAGTTTTATTCGCCACATGTGGAGTGGCTATAGTTCAGCTTCCTGCCAACCAGATTTTTTAAAACCTAGTCTCCCGTGTACAAGGTGCAATCTCTGGGCTTGGATTTAAAAAAACAAAAAAAACACACACACACACCTTACCTCCACGAGATTTCCCAAATAACATGGGAAGTACCAACCACAATATTTCCAGAGGAAAAATAAAAGATTATTTCAAATTCTGCAGAAATTTGTCGTATGGCTGTAGATCTTGTAAATGTAGGTGTTGCTGGTGCAATCGTGGTGATGGTAGTGATACTACTGGAGCATCTCTTTAAGAAATGGAGGATGGAAACGCTTGTGTAGATCACTGCCTCGTAACCTTGCTTAAGAACCATTTAAGCTTCAAAAGTAATTTTAAACTGCATTTGAACTCCTAAATCTTCGTAGTCGATGAAGACTGATCAACAAAACCTTTATCGAGGCCCCACATGTCCTTCTACAACTTGATTACTGCATGTGTTACGTATGTATCCAAAACCTTTCACATTTGCACCCTTTAATTGCCCATATAGTTTCAAAGCTTGAGAAATGCATGGTTACCTACCCTGCCTAGCAAGTACGTCGGCATCAATCACTGCACAGCCCAGTTTTCGAAGTATCAAGACCACAGTGCTTTTGCCGGATGCAATGCCACCAGACAGCCCAACTAAGAACATTGTTGGAGCGGCAGGTCAAAAACGATCTGTTCCTTTTGACAGAAAAGAAAGCACATGTGCAGCATTATTCAGAAAAAGAGTAAATTGTTGGGCATTTAAAGTGCATTTCAGGTTGTAGGTCAGAATAGCTGAATTGGAGACAGGCTTAAGTCAACCGAAATGTTTAAGTTTGGCTATATTGGCCAAAAAAAAATTGAAATTCACTTTAAACTCCCAAACATTTTAAATGCATCAAACACACTGCTAAGCAATGGGATGTATTGTATTGTATTGTTCAATAACGTTTTGTACACAGAATAAACCCATTCGCATATTGCTGTTCTCTGCAAACTCACACTCATGCGTATTCATGTAAATTACAAGACTGTGCTATTGTTTTATTGTCCGCATAATTATCTGTATAAAGCTCCAATTATTTCTACGCTGAGGCATTAGTGCAGGCAAGATCTGGAGGGAGCTTCAAAACCATTACACACAGGCATTCAAAGGGGGATCCAAAATATACATGATGGGTGGGTATCGTTCCTCTTGTCGGTACTTACCACAAAGAGAAGAGTTAAAACTGCAATACAGGTATAGTCTTCCCCCTCTACTGGTTATGATGCACAGTCAAACTGTGTTCTAATACTTTCACACTTATTTGGACAAGTATAGACAACATTTATGGATGGGGTTCTATGAAGGGGAACCAGGTTGACATTCTTCCTAGGGCTCTGGGTAACCTTAGTCTGGCTCTAAAGGAGTTGTTTTAAAGTGGAATGATCACAAACCATCAACTCTTGATGTGTTTTAAGTCTTTATTCTAACGTACTACTTTGATTGTTGACTGGCGTCTGGAGACTCTGCCTCTAGGCTTTTCTTTTTTGGCCTCCTCTTTTTCTTCTATGGGTTTCGTATATTTAGCTGGTTTACAATAAGCTTTAGAGAGCTGTATCGCCTGCAGTTCCCGAAGTTTCAAAAAGTCGTGTCTCCAGTCATGCTGTGTAATGGGATTCATGATGGGTCTTTTTCTCAAATCAACGCTTCTCCACTGGTCCCACAGGTCTGGCTCTGAGATGCCAGGTTCAGGTACTTTCTATAGTGCACCTCAATTGTTGCATCATCACACATCATCATCATCAGCCTTCATCATAGTCAATGATGTCACAGCAGGTTTACTGCACTTTACTTCAACTGGACACAGCGTATAAACATGGCTGGATTCCCAATATAAAAAATAGGCAGCTCAAAAATAAGTTAATAATGTGGAGTTTACAGGACCCACTTTAAAATATGTAGGGTGTTTTTTTTTTTTTGTTCTTTAAATTGATGTTAGCCCAAAATAAGCTGGAATCTATTCAGAGTATGGGGTGCTCCTTAACCCCTTAAGGACACGTGACATGTCATGATTCCCTTTTATTCCAGAAGTTTGGTCCTTAAGGGGTTAAAGGATTATTCCATGGAGCATAAAAGGTTGGCTCTTTTTAAATAGTAACTCGCTAGAATGAATGCAACACTTTACAAAGAGTGCCCTCTAGTGTTAGCATTGTCAACTTGCAAATCTGAGGACAATGAAAGATATGTGAGAATTCTCACTAAATTCATCATTGGTTATGTTTGGTCTATCCATTCATGTTTATGCCTATAAACAAAAAAAAATAAAAAAAAAATGTTTATCCTTTCATCTGCACTCCACTTCTTTTTACTTTCTTCACTAATTGGGGAATTGTGGAAATTGTAGTTTAAGGCTGAGAAAATAGCAGAAATGCAGATATTTTTCCAATTTGGCCGTTTTGGTTAAATATTTACAATTACCTTTTCAATTCTATCCAGTTCCCAGTTTCATTCACAGGGTCATTCTCTAAACCAGAAACGATCAGTAACTAACCAGAGAATTGTGAACTGTGAATAACCGAATGCTCTGTCCTGTGAATGAGGATATCCGAGTGTTGTGTGTGGAGGATGAATGTTGTTCATGTTTGGGAGAGACCAAGTCTGCGTGCGAGAATGTACGTTTGAAGGAAAAATTAGTGTGTCCCACTAAACGCTTGAGATCTGGTATTGTCCTCTTTCATGCTTTCCTTGCCACTGACGATCTCTACCATACCCCCATGCAGCAGACACGTCCTCTCGCATGCACACATCCTGGGGGGTCCCGCTCGCACCAAACGCTTGCACAAGGCCCTCCACAGACACACAACACAGCACAATAGTCGACCATTTAATGCTACACACACGCAGGGGCTCCTGTTTCTGAAGGCTTGGGGTGACTGACTTTTAAAGCGCTGACTCACTCTACCTGATAGCACCATGTTCATACAACGACACCTACTTGACTACTCTTCATGTCATTATATAAAAATGTGCACAATTTCTTCATGCTATGCCTCAAAACTTAACGATGTTTGGCTAACAATGAGCATATGCCGTTGGGGCAATGCAAATGTACTTGTTACTGCATGTCTCTTGCACGCAAAAATAAAGAATTTAAAAATATATATATTTTTTTAAATAATAAATTAGTGTGTCTGTGTGCTGGTTGAGTGCTGTGGTTAAATTTTATGTGTAGAGTGGATTCTAAGTGTTGTGTGTGGTGAAGGACGAGACAGAGCATTGTGGTCTGCACCAATATCAGGTGTAGATACCTTTAATTTGACACACGCAGTCTCCATGCTAAGTCAAGTGGCTGAGGTGCACAGATTCACTGACAAGCACCGGAAACCACGAGGGAGTCCTTATGGTAATCTTCACCTGACAGGAGGTACAGACAAAAATATCCAGTACTCCTTATATTGGAAAAAAAAAAGTATATGCCTTTATTGGGAAACCAGCTCTGTGTATTTAGTCAAAAAAGTTGCTCCTTTGGTTTACCAGTAAATGGTTATTTCTCACTAAGAGGAGTGCTGGAGATTATTTATTTTTATTTCAATACTTTCCCAGTGGGATAGAACAAGAGTCCTCACACCCTTAATACATGGAACGTTGTTGCTCTCCCTGTTTGTGTGGTTTTTAGAGGGTAGTGAGTGGCCACAGGGCTGAGCATGATCGCTCAGGGAGAACCCCCTCCCAGACAGAACCGGAGGTCCAGGCAAATCCAGGGGACTCCGTGGGAAAAGTTCCCAGACATGCACACAGATACAAACACACAGTGCTAAACAAAATACACAGATATAGACTGGAACACACACACACACACACATTACTAGACATACACAAAGATACACAATGACACACAGAAAAATTAATTAAAATCACATTTTCTTTGTGCTGCTGCATGAGAGGGAAGAGAATCGGTTCCAATCTGGTCAGGGGACCTGATAGCATTAAAAAAAACCTGACCAGATTATAGACTTTAATTCCCCCGATAACAGCCCTAGGCAACTAACATTTACTGTGATAGCTCACATAGTGAACCCCCAATACAATGTGTAATATATATCTATGTGTACCAAAACTGACAGCTATAAAGCTGGTAACCTGGTATAAAGACATTTTATTTACAATAATTGTGCGTTTTAGGAAAAAGATGACAAAGTTCCCAATAATAAGATATTTTCAAAAGATGTAGAAAAAGACCTTATCAGCTATACATGATGGAATTTGTACTCACCTGCGTAATATTGATTGTATTACAGCTCTGTAGTATACATCCACCTTAGTTATCAGTCATTAAAGGGACATAATGGCTCCAGGGTATGGTATGGTGAGCTCACTTGTCCTTGCCTCCCTTTAAGACAAAGAGATATGGATTTCCTCATTTAAAGGGACACTAAGCACCAAAACAACTTTAGCTCAATGAAGCAGTTTTGGGGAATAGATCATGCCCCTGCAGTCTCACTGTTCAAAGTATCTCCCCCTCTCTCTCTCTACAGCCGTAGAGAAACACACATACACTATAGACCTCAGCCACACACATACCCTGCCTACACCACAAACAGACCCCCTCTAGATGCACGCCACCTCACAAGCAACTTTGATAGGTCTTGAGATACAAACCAATAACAATAACGGGTTGGGTGCTCAGTTTCATTGGGCAGCCATTGAAAGGTAAGAAAGTTTCTGTGACATTTCATATAGGAACCAATCAGAATGGGGAGTGGTCAAGAGCATTATAGACTGGTTTGGACTTAAAGGACCACTATAGGCACCCAGACCACTTCAGCTCAATGAAGTGGTCTGGGTGCCAGGTCCCTCTAGTTTTAACCCTGCAGCGGAAAACATGTTTCACTGAGGGTTAATCCAGCCTCTAGTGGCTGTCTCACTGACAGCCGCTAGAGGCGCTTCCACGATTCTCACTGTAAAAATCACAGTGAAAAGATGCTGGACATCCATAGGAAAGCATTGAGTAATACTTTCCTATGGGCAGGTTAAATGCACGCGCGTTCGGAGCTGACGTCGGCAGGGGGAGGAGAGGTCACCAGCGCCGGGGGAGCCCGGCGCTGGAGAAACGTAAGTGGCTGAAGGGGGTTTTAACCCCTTCAACCCAGCGGGAAGGGGGCCCTGAGGGTGGGGGGAACCTAATGACCCTATAGTGGCAGGAAAATTAGTTTGTTTTCCTAGCACTATAGTGCTCCTTTAATTATTTGCTTGGGTTGGGTGAGGGGAAATCATTTTGCAAATGATGACGATCTGTTGTCTGCTGCCTTTGCAAGCCCTCACCTCTTCCCCCAGCATAGACCTTCAGTCTGTTGCAGGTCATCGAGAAGTCTCTGTGCTGGAGGCATGAGTGCATGTTGCTTTCAAGTGAGCTGTAATACAGCTCACAGGGAAAGGGGAAGACAGCTGCACTCTAGCCCAGGCATGACACTTTCATTAGCTCTGTGGAGCCGTTTGAGTGACAGCCAGGGAGGTGTTCCTGTCTGCAATTATAAAAGTGTCGATTTGTATTGAAGCTTATTTAAACTGTAAAACAGATGACAGACTCCGGTCAGATAAGAACTCCAGCAATCTGAAATGCATTATGTGTCTGGAGTGTTCCTTAAATAGTAAGAATAATGGCTGGAAATAATTGTGGGGTGTTAATGAGAAAATAATATAGCACAGTGGAATTTCAGATGAAAATAGAAGGTTCAGGGAGGATAAATGGTGTAAATAAATGGATGATTCAAGAACGTTAACTATTCTAATAATATATTACAGATTTTACTGAACCACTCACTGAGCCACCAACGACAGCGATAATTGGCTATTTAAAGAGGGACTCCGGCAGGAGGGTTTTCAGGGCCCTTTTGAACAATGAGGAAGTACCACATTGAGATGGAACATGTTGGACCTATTTTAATATTGATTTTTTTTTATTTTATTGTAACACTTTCCTACATGGCTCACCACTGTAGTTTTTGAGAAAGAAGGGAGAAGATGCACTTTTAGAAATCAATTTACAAATTGTAACAGTATTACACTACACTAAGCTGTATCCCCATATTGTTTTTAAGTCTATTGGGTGACCAATTGTGGAGTTCTTCTGGGGAAGCTACCACCAATTACGGAAAAAGTTAAGTAAACAGTAATAACATTCTATTTTAATTTAACAGTCTATTCTTTGGGTGGTGGTCAGATTTTTGTTTTGGTAAAAAAATAAAATCAAAAAATAAATTACAATAAATATCACACTTTTCTTGCAGATGTGTCACAGCTGACCGTCCGCAAATGGTGTGTCTACCACGCACTTTGAAATTCACGGATGACAGGGATAACAATAGGACTACAAGTGCCCTGTGTTATATTTGGACTCTTTGAGCACCAATAGCCACTACAGCCTATTGCAGGGGGTTAAAGTGCAGGTTCAGTGAGGTCCCTCCAATTTTGGCAAACCTGGTGGGTTTCAGTGACACGAAAGCCCTAAGACAAGACTCCTTGCACCATAACCACAACAGGTTGTAAGTAATGGTTATTTCGCTTACAGTGTCTCTTTAAATGATACCACCAATGATAGAATTTGTAACCAGGTTTTTCTATGTAGTTATTGAAGATCTCTGGAGCCAGTGGAGAGTGCCTTTTTCACATTAATCAAGGAAAGTACTGCATGTTAGTGGGAGATGTCCCCCCTGGGGGTAAGTGGCAGACACATGGACCTTACCTGACACCTCCAGACAGTAAAAAGGCTTTTAGTTGTTGTGAGAGTTTCTCTCTGAAGTCAGAAAATATCTTCTCTTTGGAATCAGCAGGATCTGTAGACAACCCATATCTTTTATAAATAAAAAATAAAAATAAATAAAAAATTATTTATATATAAATACATATATTTAAAAAAAAGTTAGTTTGAATAAAATCATTAAAAGCAGCACAACATATCACACAGGCCACTGCCTGCCACTGAAAATGTCAGCTGTCTGTCACTGTAGCGCACTACATATCCCGGAACTCTTTGCGCCCCTTGCCATCACAGCTTCCGCATTTCTTGTTGTTGCAAGGACTCAGACAAAGTAAAGCGATCAGGACTACAAATCCCGACCTACCCCGCAACAAGCAGCCAATAACAATTCGCGGTCCTCCCAGACCCTTCATGATTCGTCGACAGAGAGGCGATCCCGTGATCTGATTGGTCCTGGCACTTGTCACTTTGGGATCAGTGTATACAGTGCAGATTTAGCATGATTAATACTAGCCATTGGTTTAAATGGAGGAAAAATATCACCCTCAATAATATGGAATGCTATTTATTGCCTGCAGCTGTATAGCCAAAATAAACCTTGTTTTATATAGGTAGATTCTGCATAATATAATAATAATAATTATTGCAATGTGAATATTAAGTTAATTCACTAGTACTTTCTAGAACAGTGTTTTTGTCATACAATTAAATATATACTCCCTTTTCTCATAATGTAAAAAGTATACCTTCCAGATATTCCAACAAAATTACTTTTTATGTGTCGACAGTCAAAACAGAGAAACACAATGTAGGAGGTTTTTTTTTTTTTTTAAGTTCTTAAAATGGACACTATAGTCACCCAGACCACTTCAGCTCAATGAAGTGGTCTGGGTGCCAGGTCCCCTTGATACCGGAGAAACTGACGGAAGCAAAGCACAGAGAGATGGACACAGGTTTCTTCAGGAAGGAGGAGATTCTTTATTGGATCACCGATCGGGACTCAGAGGGACTAATGTCACCAAAAATACAGCAAGTTCTGAGCCCTGAACAATAGTGCAGGCTCCCTATATAGGCACATAACTCCTCCCATATTAAGCTCCACCCGCACATTCTCTTGACCAATCATTACAAATAAGAATTAACTTCCTGCTTGACCGCATGGCTTGTCCAGCACAATGGAGGAGGGGAATACTACATCCTGTATTCTTGCACATGCTCCGTACACTACTGATCGTATCTTGCCTCGTGCAACCAACTGATCGATATGTCAGCATATGCACGTACACATGCCACGTGGTAATCTCGGCCTACTAAATTTATTTTTACCGAGATTCCACCACATTCCCCCCTTTGATGCCTCTTGATATTTTACAATTACTTGAGGCATCACTTAACCTTGGTTTGCATACACCACAAGTTACCTTTGAACCAGACCAGACTTATCCTATGATGTGAATCTTCAACACTCGTCTTCCTGCATTGGTTCTCCCTGATCTAGAGCCTTATATTTATAAATTGCCATTATCTGTGCAGCAGCCTTCCTCTCTGCTATATTTTCTATCAGGCTTTGCACAGACCTAACTACTAAGGGTATAAGACACGGCAGGAGTAGACACAACATTAAAATCAGTAGGACTCCACCTACCACTGCCTTAAGCCCTCCAAACCACTCATACCAGCTACCAAACCAACTACTTGGATTGTACCCTTTCCATACCTGAGTAGGCACATGCGCTAGTTTAACCATATGGCTAGTAAGCTCAGCTATTGCTTGCCCTTCGTCATCTATTTGAAGACAGCAATTGCTCAGGTTAAACTTCCCACATACACCTCCCTCTACTGCCAAAAGATAATCCAAGGCTAATCTATTTTGGTAAACTGCTGTCCTCATCCTGGTATTATGCTTCGCTAGAAGATTGAGCGCTTGTGATGTCTCGTTAGTAATGATCTCAACCACCGCCTGTAACCTTATAATGCGGTTGAGCATATAAATAGGGGTTCTATAACCAAAGGTACCATCCTCTGCCCACGTGGCTGGCCCATAATAATCTATAATACGCTGGGGAGGCCATTCATTATCTTCCCAGGCACCTATCTCTATGGGTCCCCTTTTCTTCCTATGATTCACATCATACACTTTAACACCTAAAGTCTCACCTGTTTCAATAGGCAACAAGAAGAAGGATGGTTTCAACATACCCAACACACATGCCCCTTCCCAGTCCTGTGGTAACTCCGAATAGGCCTTCTTACCACAGATCCAGTACAAATTCGCTGGGGCTCTCCAGTTAGATGTGATGGATAGATCAAACCATACGTCCTTTAAATTGGCATATCTTGCAAACGGGTTAGATGGTTCTGAGACATTTGAAGCCGACCACCAAGTTGTATTCTTTGTATCATCATCATAAGCTTTTGCCCTAGACAAGTTAATTCTCCTACAGAAGTATTATACATCATTCCTTTCCTCGCTATGCAAACATAACCTATGATGGAGGTCTTCAATCTCCACTCAGATTTACCTCTAACACTCATATGATAGTCGGCTTGTGTAGATATTAATTGGTCAACTGCCTCAGAACCGGACATTACCTCCTTTGCTTCCCAAGGCCATTGGTCTCCCATGTTAGTACCTCCACACACATAGCAGTTGGTAACATTAAGACTACCGGCAATACTTTCGGCTAAATCAATGAACAAGTTTTTAGCATTATGGGGCATTTTATTATCTATGCTCATCTCTTCATAAAAGGAATGGTATACTTGATGAGTTTGGGAGGTTACCGTATCAGTCTCTATCCCTATAAACAATATTGTTCCAGGGTCTAAACCCGTCCCATATATTTGAAACCCAAATAAATTACCATATTTATCTAAGAACTTGTCAGGGTTATTTATAAGTATATGGATTGGATTGCATTCCATAGACTTACAATATGGATCAGTAGGCAACTTAGTCACAATCATGTCCTTGTCTGCTGTCTGTCCCCAAGTCGCCCACCCCACACAAGACCAATATGGGCAGAAGTTATAATCTCTATTTGGGCATCTTGGACTTACATATTTATTTTTACTACTGGGACAAATATATTTATCGTTAGACCCATACGTCCTCTCCCATCTAAGATCCCCACATACATTCCACGGCTTTCTACCACTTGATATTGCTTTACACGCATCAAATAGCAGAGCACCTGAAGAATATACGGATTCTAATACCGTCTTATTAATTAGGGTCCCCTGAGGATCTCCATTTCTGAGAGTCAACCAAATTGTACGGGGTTGATACTCAGGACTGAAGCACTTAGGTTCTCCTACTCCTAAATGACACACACTATATTCTATATTTAAGTATCTACATCTTGATACATCTCCTTTACACTCATATTGCGAATGCCAAATTAGGGTCTGGGATATATGGTTACCTGTTCTTGTAGTCTTAATGCATACCTCACAGCTAGGAGTGTTGGTACCTCTACCTTCCTGAATATAAAAATACACATAAATAAACATTATTAAAAATACATCTTTCGTCGTCATCCTCAGTCTTCGTCCGTGCGAAGGCACCTCAGCTTCCAGGATGTAAGGGCTGCAGGGAATGGAGTTCTGCTCGTCTTCACAGGGGTCCCCTCAAGACTTTCCCTGACTTATACACTCGTTGGTGAGTGGACAGGCTTTATTATGGCCTTCTCACTCACTTACCAAGTCTCTGAAACAATAAAATTTGTAATCCACAAGGTTCCTCGTCACTCCGACTGAGTCGTGCGTTTTAACCGGATCTTGCAGGGATTCTCTGGATCTGCTGTAACTTGCCAAGAATCGGCTGCTGCTGGTTTAACCCTGGAGTGATGTATCCACGGAGTCACTTCGGCTACTTTTATCGCTGTAGGGGTAGACAAAAGAACAACATAAGGACCTCTCCACTTGGGCCCTAACGGCACATTATTCCACTCTTTAATCCACACTTGGTCGCCTGGGTGGTAACTATGAATTGGGGGATAAATATTCACAGGTAATCTATCTTGCACCCATTTCTGTACCTCCTCCATAGTCTTACCCAACTCTACAACCTGCTGCCGGGTAATTCCTTCTCCCAACTGACTCAAATCCCCCCTTAAGTTACCAAGAACGGGAGGTGGTCGCCCGTACATGATTTCAAAAGGAGAGAGGCCCATCCTTCTGGTAGGTGTACTACGGATTCGCAATAGAGCTATGGGCAAGAGAACGCTCCACTTAAGTTGGGTTTCCTGACACATTTTAGCCAACTGATTCTTAATAGTTCTATTCATTCTCTCTACCTTACCAGAACTCTGGGGTCTATATGCCGTATGAAGCCTCCACTTTATACCAAGCATATGAGTCAATTGTTGTAGGCACCGATGAACAAAAGCTGGACCATTGTCCGATCCTATAGAGCAGGGTAGTCCATATCGGGGTATTATTTCTCGTAGCAGGAATCTCACGACTTCTCCTGCTTTCTCTGTACGAGTAGGACATGCTTCTACCCAGCCTGAATAGGTGCACACCACTACCAGCAGGTAGCGATGTCCACCCGATTTAGGCATCACCGTATAGTCAATTTGTAAATCGGACATGGGAAGTCCCCCCATAAA